ACTGTCACTACAGAGCCAGAATCGATAAAAAATGTCACATTATTGTGCTTGTCGTTTATGTGAAGACGTATTTCCTTAGAGTTATTCTCGTCACCATTCCCAACCGTCTCCACATGGGTTGGTGAAGTTAGTTTTCCGATTTCGAGTTGTTTCCGAACTTGCATGGTTGCAGACAGTGTTTGGCATCCGCACCGTACCTTGCATGGTAGTAGCAGATCCCATCGTGGTACTGATTTTGCTTACTGTGGGACCTGGATCGGCTCCTTCGCTGGTTGCAACCGGTGCTATCGTTTTTACCGTTGTTGTTGGTGTCGTTGCGCGGATTTCCAACCTGCAAGTCATCCATCTTAGTGACGAGTTTGTTCATAACGGTTAACATCCACCCGATTGATTTTTCCACCAGCGTGAGATGACCTGCGATTGAGCTGTCGGAAGAGCTTGCCGTTGCTCAAGGTGGTTGACGATCCACTGCCATGACGAAAGAGTTACCACACGACTGGAGGAGCCTGTCTGCGGTGTCGGCCAATTTTGTAAGTGTGAGATCCGAACTACCTACCAAGAAAGCGCGAATCCCTGACGGCATACACTGAATGAACCTGGACCGTAGGAAGTCATCGTGTACAACCTCACCCCCGAGTTCTCGCATTTCTCTCAACAGTTGCGAGGGCCTTATGTCAGCCAGTTGCAGCTTGTTAAAAAATTGTTGAATTTGACGTTCACGTGAGTCAGTGAGACGGTCGACGAGCGTGGTCTTCAGGGCCTCGTATTTTCCAGCGGCCGGCGGTCTGCGGATGATATCGGAGACATGTCGAATCGAGTCGGCGTTAAGAGATTCGACGACGAGGTTATATTTTTTATCGTCGCTGCGAATTCGTCGGTTTTCGAACGTAGATTCGATTTGCGCGAACCACAAGTCGGGCGTGTTTCCCCAAAGAGGCGGTAACTTTACGGGATGAACGTCTTCGACACGTGGTTGACGCTGGTCCGAAGGCACGTTTTGACCTCTGATTTGTCCGTGTATATCGTCGCCGTTGGCTGCTTCAGGCTCACCCTCACCGTCGCTGGGCCCCGCCCGCCGGCTATATCCAACAGGCCTTGTCTTGACTGATCCGGCGTACGTGGCATCGTCATTGTTCCGCGATATGCCTGAACGTGCTAGCGACCTATGTCCCTTTGTTTTCAACGCACACGTCTTATCCACACCAATCACATCGGGGTCACCAAATTGTCGTTGCTAGTTCCTTAATCGGATATGGATAAGTGGGGGTGACTGAGCACGCGCGCTTTTTTCAAGATTTTCTTTATTATAAAACGATATAAACTTTGAACTTTATAAATTGCGCGTAGTATTTGAATGCAAAGATAGTGAAGACCACTGAGCGCGAACGTTGTTCTCCTAGGACTAGAGCTGTGGCGTCCGACGTCGGACGTTAAACCATGACTAGCTTTTCTAGAGACGGAACTTCTTCCACGTTTCTCGTTCGAGAATTGACTATAGCGCCGTGGCGTCTGCGGCTGCCGCCGAGCGAGACCGTTGCAGGGACGGTGCGGACCGCCACAAAGGCAAACCAGTCAGCGCCATCTGTCGTGTAAAAAAGGCGATGGACGTGCGAAGACGACGACGACGACGACAGACCTGAAATAAAATCACCTCGCTCGCCATGTGAATACGTCCTGATCCTGTACACTAATCGTATTGAAGTTGGTGGTAATCAATTCGGAACCCTTGATTCCTACAGTGAATGTATCAATAAATTTTTCTCACATACAGCCGTTCATAAGATATTTAAGTCGAAACACAGGTACAAGAGATGCTTCAAGTAAAGAGTCTCGGCGGGCCGTGCCCCATACGGCAGGTTGCCTATACTTGGCGCGAGACTCGACCGGGTCTTTTGATACGCGCTAGGCCAGCGCCTGCAGCAAGTGAGAGGGTCTTATGGGCGACTCGCGCTGGAAGTCAGTGAGACACTCTTATACGCGCTAGGCCACCGCTGGCAGCGAATGAGAGAGTCTTATGGGCGACTAGCGCTAGACGCAAGTGAGACGCTCTTATACGCAGTGCAGGCTATCTCTGGGACTCCACTAACTGCGAGTGAGAGGGGCTTATGCGGACTCATGTTGAAATTCTGTGAGACACTCTTATAGGAGACGCCTGGACTCGGGACATAAATGGCGTCCCGAGCGAGGGGAATAGGCTACCCTCTCTACGCGTCGGCCTGACTTGCTCGTCACCAGTCGCCACCGCCGGCCGCCCCACTCACGCTTACTACTAGCTCCACTCAAGGACGGCATTAATATCCCGCAGTGTACATCGTCTCGGTGGTAGGACGTGAAATAATCAACTCGCATCTAAAGTTTATCTCTCCAACTTATACAGGATGAATCACGAATCGTGATCAGTAGAGATTACTTTGTTATTAGCAGTCCGATCGAAAATGTTTGTATCAGCTTTCGCATGGTTTCAAGAGAGCTTTAACGTGATAGTGAAAAATTATTGGTTAACTCTTTTTTTTAATGTTTTTTCAAGGTTACCTTGAATTTTTTGCAACTGAACATATAATTTTTTTACGCCTGTCTGTTAGAGGATTTCAAGACGAATTCGGCACATGTAAAGACATGACATTTTTTACATCTGGTTCGAAAAAAAAATTAAAAAACTTTGTATCACAAGGAGAATCACAGCTACGCCGTTATTACGCAACCAATATTGTTGACAAGTCAAAATTTACCAATTTTAATTGTAGCGATGTTCAAAATGGTGTCCGCGAGCTGCAATGCACTAGCGTAGACGGTGAACAAAAGATTGTTTTGCATTCTTTATGGCCTCTACACTGATGGTTGAGCATGCATCCGCAATCCTTCGTCGCATATCTTACGGTGTTGTTAGAGCATCTGCATAAACTTTGTCTTTTAATGTACCCCACAAAAAGTAATCTAATGGAGTAAGATCGGTAAATAATTTTGTTGTAAAAGTTGCAAAAAATTAAAGGTAACCTTGAAAAAACATTAAAAAAAGAGTTGACCAGTAATTTTTCACTATCACGTTAAAGCTCTCTTGAAACCATGCAAAAGCTGATAAAAACATTTTTGATCAGACTGCTAAAAACAAAGTAATCTCTACTGATCACGATTCCTGATTCACCCTGTATAGCAAAGTAGTCCTTTTAGGTAGCACACTTTAATAAAAGTGTCTTAATGTAATGTAACAACTACACCATGGTCCGGTTCTGAATATTCTTCCATGCTAGCGCCTGAATAAAAGTCTAGCAAATTGGAGAAAATTATTATGTATAATAATTTCCAATCTAATCTAACCTAATTGAACAAATATTTGAATGTAGGCAGAAAAACGTCAGATTAAAACTCTGATGAAGACGTCTTAATTTCGATTTCAATGAGATATCGTAAAGTAAGACATAAGACGTCTTCTAGACATATTAAGGTTCAAGATACGACATGCTTTCAGAAGATCAGAAATCAAGTGAAGACTCAAGTCAAGATTATATATATATATATATACAGGGTGTTCCGAAATTACCTGACCAACGAGATATGGCGGTGTTTGGTAGACACCACTAATCATGAAAATGACCTTCCTTTTCTTCGGAAGGTCATAGTTTTTAAATAGGAGCAAGTCAAAGTTGACCAATCAAAGCGAGGCGTCAAGTGAAACGTAGGCACCTACGAACGGCGTGTTCCGATATAAACTGGCAGTGCTGCCAGTACTGCATATTTCATTCCGATATTGGAGTACAGTGCACTGCGGCAGTGCCTAGTAACTTTAATGACGTCATAAGTTTCTCCCATTTTTTCACTGTAAGCGCCTGAGCTCTCATGGTCAGGTACTCCCAGTGGACCCCCACTCCCTACAATAATAGGTGGCAAAAATGGTGAAGTTCTGTTTAATTGACGGCGAAACAAACATTTTATATGAAGTATGTGTAACACCTGATGAATCAGTATGTGCACAAAATGGTAAGTGATAGCTTTTTGATCATCTTATTTTTCTCTCTTTTGTTTTGGTGCAAATAATCATATTTTTGGTATTGCCTCCCTTTGTTTTATTTGTGCAATTCACCAGTTACTGAAAAACGTTCCGATATTATTCCCAACCAGTTATAAACACTGGCGCTAACGAAAATGGAATGCTTCAACAGTATACTTCAATGACGTCACGTATTGCAGTGCTCACAGGGTATATCGGAACACGCCGGAACTCTGAGTTTTCTTCCCTCGCTTTTGTTTCTCGGTGGCTTGTTTCTTGTTTCCAATAGGCATGTCTTCGACTGACGTCATCCTGCCCGAAGCCACCGAGAAACAAAAGCGAGGGAAGAAAACTCAGAGTTCCGGCGTGTTCCGATATACCCTGTGAGCACTGCAATACGTGACGTCATTGAAGTATACTGTTGAAGCATTCCATTTTCGTTAGCGCCAGTGTTTATAACTGGTTGGGAATAATATCGGAACGTTTTTCAGTAACTGGTGAATTGCACAAATAAAACAAAGGGAGGCAATACCAAAAATATGATTATTTGCACCAAAACAAAAGAGAGAAAAATAAGATGATCAAAAAGCTATCACTTACCATTTTGTGCACATACTGATTCATCAGGTGTTACACATACTTCATATAAAATGTTTGTTTCGCCGTCAATTAAACAGAACTTCACCATTTTTGCCACCTATTATTGTAGGGAGTGGGGGTCCACTGGGAGTACCTGACCATGAGAGCTCAGGCGCTTACAGTGAAAAAATGGGAGAAACTTATGACGTCATTAAAGTTACTAGGCACTGCCGCAGTGCACTGTACTCCAATATCGGAATGAAATATGCAGTACCCCTCTGATTAGTCAACTTTGACCTGCTCCTATTTAAAAACTATGACCTTCCGGAGAAAAAGAAGGTCATTTTCGTGATCAGTGGTGCCTCCCGAATACCGCCATACCCCGTTGGTCAGGTAATTTCGGAACACCCTGTATATATATATAAATTTTTCTCACCTCTTTTGTGATATTTTCTGTCGGAGAAAGAGTAAACATAAAATCAATAACAGGCATTATAACCTCCAGGTATGACACTATTTTTTGTGAATTATATCTGTGTACAGTAGTAAGTAAATGAGACAGTGTTGTCAATGCAATTTCAATTTCATGTTCATTGTTTTCATTCAAAACAATAATGCATACATCGCGCATCAATATAATAATATTTAGGCTTCCATCCTCCCCTGAAATTATATAAATTTATTGATTGGAACATTTTAGTATGTAACAAGGAAATTTTCCTGAGGAAAAGTAGTAAACATACTCAACAAGTATTCATAATTGATAGTACTCATTACAGCATCAAGAATGTTAAGCGCAAAACGATAATTGTTGCAGTTTTTAGTAAGACAATCACTTATCATTGCAAATACCTTAATTGCAATTTCATTTGACTTTCCTGTATTGTACTGTCTGTATAGTTGTTTCCATAGTATGACAACTTTTCGTATCTAAAAAAAAAAAAGAATTTAATTTTAAATTTTCATAGTTTAATATTAAATGTAAATATTAATAACAATTTAAGGTTAACAGTATGTAATAAAATTTGTATTAAACTATTAAACATTAAATAAACTAACCTAGCCCTAGATTTTTGGGTCATTATTTACTTTTGTGACATATGTGGTAACCCGTGAGGAAAATTATTAAGGATGCCCTAAGATAACTTAAGGCCCTACCAGGCTTTAATGTAGATATCATAATATGGATTTCCATATCACTGCTTATTAGGGACCTTATAAGGAAATTCTACACGGAGAGAATTTTATGATAATGATTCTCATATTGAGCATAGGAAAAGAGACTTTTTCCGGAGAATGTGCGTCTGAGCAATAAATATATTCTTATCTATTATAAATATCCCAACATGAGTTTTAAAGGTACAAAAGTAACTGCTATGCGTATGAAAAATGTAATTCGTAATTTTCAATATATGAAACGATTAGGCGTAATTTGTTAGTGTTGAATGCATAGCAAACATAATGCAAATGACTGATCTAGAAGTACGTGAAAAATTACGAAGTACGATAAAACAATAACACATATGAGAGCTACGATAAAACTATAACACATATGAAACCTCTAAGTACACAGGTTTAAATAAATCAAGACATATTTTATATTTTGGTCAGCCTTATTGAATCCGTTATTTTGAATTTCTGAACTTTAAGTTCAGATTCGAAATCAACGGTCTCTAAAACCCCCGATTATTGAGTTTCATGCAAATCAAATAACTTTTTGCATTTTGATCTACCATATTGGATTCGCCATTTAGACATTTTTTTGTTTGAGTTCAAATTGACAATCCTCAACCTCAAAAACCTCCGAGTACCGAGTTTCAATCAAATCCACCAGATATCTCGGTAAGTGTTATCCTAGATGAATTATTGTGGAATTTAAATATAAAAAATTCAAATAGTCGGTTTGGTCTAGTGGTTATAGTGCTTGTAGTTAGGTAATTAAGTAAAATTTAGGTAGGTCGCGCGCAGGTCTTTGATTCGATCCCACAAATGTTACGTCTCGGAGAGCATATTACGAAAATGTACGATTTCCTTTTTTTTTTTATTAAAATAATATTATTAATATTACTAAATAACTACCCCTTGAGAAAATTACGTCCTGAAATTAATAATTAACTTTCATATTGGTTATATTAATCAATTGAATAGTAGTGGAATCCTGTATAGGCCCTGAACAGTTAGCCTTCTAAGGCCCTGAAGAAAAAAGCGTGACCGTCCTTTAAGGGACTCTATGAGACTTCCACGTGAGGCCCCTAAGAAAATTAGGGAATATTAATCGGGGCCTTGAAAAAACCCTGGTAAGTTCTCTTCACGAGAATCGTTCACCCAACCGCATTAGTTTATAAATATCTTTATTTTTATTTTTATCAGTTAAATTATTTGTCAATCAGTCTTAGGGAATGGCCTAATTAATTTTTAAATTTTCGATTTCATTTATTCGTAACTTGGTAAATAACCATCGGATAATAAAATGGAAAGCAACTTTCGGTTTGAAATATTTTCCATTTTAGCAAGTAATTGTTCGTAGAAACTAATTAAATGTGATCAAATAACGTAATTTCTCCATAGTTTGATTTTACCGAAGGTATCGTAGCAGTACAACCGGCAGTGGTGGGACGCGTCACACAGCATCCAAGCTCAAGGACGGAGTAGCGGTTGGGCGCTCACTCATCCTATGGCCGGACAGGCATCTGGTCAAAGCGTGCATCTGATTGGTTCATACAAATCGTTAATAGCTCGATAATTAGGCGTCGAATCAAAAAATGGAAAAGGAACTTTGAATTCATTATTTCCTCCACCTTCAACCCCTTAACGCTCTCACAGCTGTTGTGGGACAACCTGTATAATTTACGTATACGTATTATGCTTGTTTTGGCATGTCCAATTCGGCAAATAATAATCTTTAAGAATTAAAGCCTTAACAATTAAAGCGAGTCAGACCTCTATCAGGATAAAAATAGATACCCAATATTTCCATTAATTAAACGAAGTAATATCAATTTCAGGTAATATTCGTAGAAACCATTTTTCATTCGAATGCCTTTATTGACCATATACTGCTATTGTGAATGTATATTTTTTAAAATGAGAAATTTGTTCCCGATGTCATACTGCATCCATGCATCCATGTGATTTTAAGTTTTGGAAGGCTTTCACATAATTTTTGCAAAGTTTGATATGCCATAGATCATGATAATTTATGGACCTTTACAAGTTAAATAGCATTAAATTAACCCATTAATGACGAAGATCGCTGATTTTGTTCAATATGTTTTTGAGTCTAAACTTCATGCCTGTAACAGAGGAGTAAATGGATCAAGGTCAGTGTTCCTTATGTTTTCGAGTGTGCACTAACAGAATCCGGGCTTAGAATCGAGCATTTTTAATTAGAAAATTAAATATGGCGGCTTTTGTATAAAGAAATGAGAAAAAATTGTACATTTTCAATGTTTATAATTTTTCTTTTCGGACTAAAATAGGTAAAAAATCTGGAATATCCTTCAACCATTAGCGCACAAAATTGTTGAAGGTGAACAGGAAATTTGTTTGATATTCATGTGATAACTTTCCATTTCAAAATGACGGCTGGAACGAAAAAATGTCTTAAAAACCAGAGTTTTTCACTAATATTTCTTATTTATTGGATTATTTGAAGCTTATTATGAGTTCAGATGATAATAAACGAGTCTCTTAACAATATTTGGCGCAATGATCAATTTTCAAAATCTGCGTCATTAATGGGTTAAACCCTAGTTCTCTGAACCCCTGCTTATTCAGTGGTAACACATATAAATATGGAACAGGTACACGGAAGTTATATTTAGAGATTTTAAAGATTCTGTTTTCCCAGTTATGGGAGCCGCTCTTCCCCCTCCGTTAAAAAAAAAATGGTTTGGTGAAATAACACTATTTGCTACTGTTCTTACGGCAACAATAGTGTTGAGAGTAATGTTGTAGTTTATTAGTGTTCCTCATAAAATTTGTGTACAACCGATACTTTTCGCAACAAGGTCGCAGGAAGGTTCGACCTCGCAGCCTGTACGCATCTAGGTAGTAATAAACTAATGGTTCAAGTTTCAGTCAAGCTTATCCACACCTAATCCAAGTTTATTTGAACTCGGAATATTAAGCCAAGCTTGAATATCAAGTCTCAAGCTAACTTGGTTATTAAATCTGAGCTCAAGCTGGATTCAAGCCTTGGTAAATAAAGTGCCACACGGAGAAAAATATTAATCTAGCAGTAAAGTGTCAACGCCAGTAAGCATATTGACCCAGTTCTCAGAAAAAATCATGTATAAAAAACTCCACATTATAGATAATTTTAATCATGCGGCTGTATGAGAAACTATACTATAATTACACATACATATATCAGTTAATTCTAAAAAATACAGATGACAAAGTACTTGTTATGATCATAAATGAAGCCAGAAGAATGCAATTCGCAATACCTATAATCAGTGAATGAATGTTAGAAATCAAATTGATTTACTCGATGCTAGTTTCAGTATCTGCCTTGTTTTGTTTTAAATCTCCATGACAACACTCATGTTTTAATAGATGTTCCTTCTTACACATCGGAGTAGCCCTACGGACACATAAACTGTCTGTTGTTCTTCAATAAATATTATTTTACATCGTATCCGACTTCATAATTTCAACAATGAATTATACATAAACGAAAAAAAATGTCTACAAATATTCCAGCAAGATGAGTGATTTGTGTAGTTTTCACCAGTAATTATATGGATAACATTCAATCATCTATTTCATTTAGCTGTAAATGTATTCTTGCGATAAATATTATTGCAACAAGTGAATTTTACTTATCTGTGAAAATCATTTTTAAAAAACTATAAAAATTTAATTATACTGTTATTATTTACTAAAATACCTGGAAAATGTAATTAATATAATCATATAACCGTACACTTGAAACATAATTTTAAAAAAGCTGTGCGCGTATTACTTGCATTTAGTGTACACTATTTGTATTGCCAGGAATAGAACTCTAACCTGCAATTGTCGGGATCCTCAAATTGAGGAGTGTGACATTCTATCCACTGAGCCACCATCCTAATTTGTACAAGTTGCATGAGCTAGAAGTGATAATGAACACTGTATATGAATATAAGTACCGCCAGTTTTGTAGAGTTCCTCGGAAAATATAATTCTTATGCTGCTTATAAGCCCTAATCAATACACGACAGGCTAAATGTTATAAGCATAATTTTACGGAGTATTTGCAAAAGTATTTGTTAACATTTAGAAAAAAATCTGCATTTTTCAATAATTATACCATATGTTATATTAAAATTGTTATCCGGTAGAGGATATGCTTTAAAGAAGCTTGCCTGCATAACAACTCGCGCAAGCGCATAGCCCCTTAATATAATAGTTCCATGACCCATTGGCCAAATTCATTTTAAAAATGTAATTGTTGCGGTGTTATCACCAAAGGGATGATTGCGCGGCAACTTTAAATCGGAGGGTATAAAAACCCGAAGATTCGGGGAAAATTCAGTCAGTCTTGCTCCGACTGACCAACCAAAAACTCGTGAGTTGCTGAAGAGGTCCTAGCACCTCGCTTCAGCCTCCTAGCCTTCCCGCAGTAATTCTAACGTTTCACCGCGAGGAGAACACTGGTAAGGACTTTCGGTTAATCTTATAAGGTGCATATTCCTGCAGACCGTGTATGTCTCGCAAACGAAGTTCGCGGAATAGTACCGGTACTTCTGGCGGAAACCGAGCTGCAAAGCGGCGATTTGAAAGACACGCCCAAGATGTCAAGAGAAAGCAGATAGTTCTATTTGGCACGCCGTAAAAAAAGATTGTTATTAAATAAAACGGTTAGACAACCTCAGAATTGTTCTTCCCTAAATGATCCATTAACAAATTATTATCGATAACAAAATGTTTTATATTATATGAAAAAAGTTGATGCCGGATTGTTGATTTCTACCATTAGACTGTGCGTTACATAAGCATGAGCTGAATCATTATGCTTGACTATTGCTGTAATATTTACCAGTGTGGCACACACATTGGACGGGATTTAATTCTTTTAAGGTCCATTATATTCATAGTAAAAAAACAGACTAATTCTGTCCTGGACATTGATAATACCCAATCAATAAACTGTTGCTGTAACAAGGAATTATCTGAACTGAATTTAGGTTATTAACATTTGCGGTACAAAGCTCCGCAAAGTTAGCCCCCCCCCCCCCCC